ATCAACTTTTTGATGATATTCTAATTATATGACCAGCACCTGTATATTGTCAGAAGACGTGCCGACCACGTAGCCAGTAATTGTTCTCTCCTCTTCCTCCCGTCCAGCCTCCACGTCTCGCTCAGCACCCAGGGTCAGACCATGCTGTCGGCGCTGGTCTTCAGCACACTGCTGTGGCTCTCCCTCATCCTGGCGCTCCGGTTCTGCCTCAAGCTGCTCCTCTCGTACCACCAGTGGATGTTCGAGCAGCACGGCCGGGTTTCCAACACCACCAAAGTCTGGGTGGTAAGCCATGCCTCTCCTCGGTTATCACAGATCCATAGTGGCTGCTGCAACGGCACGGGATGCTTTAAAGAAAGACCGTTTACAGACCTATAATCGTCTTATTCTTACTTTTAATCCCAGTAAAATATGTAGACATTGTGAACACTGGTTTGGAACGTGACGATCGCCACGGACCCTTTTACAGGGGAGAACATTTTCCAAGGACCCCATCTCAATCGTGACACCCATAAAGCATACGCTCACTACCTTTCGTACTCTCGGATGCTATTGGAAGTAATTGTATTCTCAAACCTTTCAACCTAAATACGTCAGACCTCATTCAAAGCAGTAAAATGAACCAAATTTCACTTTGAATCCTGTTAAGATGAGATGAGATCATCCTTTCATTTGGACTACACTTACAGCATTTAAAGCCCACATTCAGAGTACAGACAGTAGCAAGACTGACATAGTCCTGATAAATCCCGGTCTTTGAACTTTACACTTACTGACTTTCAGTAAGTTCTTCAACTGGACTATAAGTAACGTATTGCTGTGTGATACAATCATATCAGAGTTTCTATTGGCCCAAAGCTAACACAGGTGGGACTAATGTACACAGTTTTTTTTTTTTTTTTTTTTTTTAAAAGCATGTGCCCTTTTTGTAATGACGGCGCACAATTTTATCATTTATAGCAAATTTATGTCGCGCTCATTCAGATGATTTGTTAAATTCCCCCTTTTGTTTACCTGCCTGGTTGATGGCGGGTGCTAAGTGTAGCTAGCGACGGAGAGCGAGCTTTACCCAGCACACTGTTCGGCTGTGTAGCGGTCCCCTCTAAATACACTAAACCGTGTGCACATAGCGCACTACTAATACATGTGTCCCGTAGATCGCCACATAGACCAGGCGCTCCTTCCCTTTCAGTTACACACGTTACGTCTGTTATATGTTGAAGTGTCTCTAGAGTTCTCACCTCCTCCTGTCCCCCCCCCCAGACTCTGCTGAGTTTACTGTCGAGCAGGAAGCCTCTGCTGTACAGCTACCAAACCTCTCTGCCTCATCTGCCTGTTCCTTCCATCAAAGACACAGTGAGCCGGGTGAGCTGACACACACACGCGCACACACACACACACACGTACGTGAACACACCTGTGGACACACCTGGACACATTTCCTGGGCACACACTTGTACACAGGAAACAGTGTCTATGTACATATAATGGTTTAGTTAAAGAATTACATTTCAGATGAGATCAATTTGATGATAATTTCATAAGCACAAAACCATATTGTGACTGATGTTGTTTTCTCTCTCTCAGTATCTGAAGTCGGCGCGTCCTCTCTTGACCGATCCGGAGTTCAAACGCATGACTGAGCTGGCCGACCAGTTCGAGTCCAACCTGGGAAACCGTCTGCAGCGCTACCTGAAACTCAAAGCTCTGTGGGCCACCAACTATGTGAGTGCAGTTGGCTCAAACGACGAGTCTAATGATCAATCCGTTGATCGGTTGATGGCCATCTACTGTTGTCCCTCATACAACCTCACTTCAAGAAACATCCAACGTAACCCTTTAAACTCAGAAAAGCTGTTTTTCAACATGTGCACAACAGCAACAGTTTTCTGGCTGGGTGCTCCTCCTCGGGTTTTAGTGCCTTGTTTTGTGCACACATGAGCATCTTGAAATGTTTAGCTCCTTCCTGCATTAAAATGTTTCCCTCTTGTTTTCTTTCAACTCTGTAATCCTGTATTCCATAGCATCGTTGTACAAACTGTTCTGGTCAGACTTCTAATAGAGGTCCACACTCCCTGATGCAACATCACTATTAAAATAATAATACACAAAGTGCTTCACAATGGGGGAATATAGACATGGAATGAACATAAACCAGGGAAAGTGAGATCAATTGAATACATAGAATGCAAAACATGAGATGGAAAATATGAATTAAAAATAATAAAATCAGTACCCATATTTGCAGCATGCACATATACATCAATAAACACAGCAGCAAATGTCCCCGTGGTGGAGTTTCTAAAGCTTTTAAGACAAAAACTTCTTTCTCCTCGAGTACCAAAAGATAACCTGGAAGTTCGACCTTTTCCCACTTAAATAAAAGGTCACTTTGTCTGCTCTGCAGGTGACTGATCTTCTGGGCAGCTTTGGTGTTTTCGATGTTAAGCACGCGGTACAAAGTGTACAGAGTGATTTTGTTTTGTTTGTCCTGTTTTTATTGTGAGCGATCAACTTGTAATGTGCTGCTGTGGTTCCAGGTGAGCGACTGGTGGGAGGAATACATCTACTTGAGGGGCCGAAGTCCCATCATGGTCAACAGCAACTACTATGGCATGGTAACCAGCTGCCTTTTCCTAAATATTAGAGCTTAGAGAAATACTCTTCCTCCATGTCTTTAAAAGCATTCATCTTGAGAGACTTTTTTTTAAAATTTATTCCAACATCCTGTGTGCGTCCTTTCCAGGACTTCATGTACGTGACCCCGACCTCTGTGCAGTCGGCCAGAGCGGGCAACATCATCACTGCCCTGCTGCTCTACCGCCGCAAGGTCAACCGGGAGGAACTCAAACCGGTAAGGCCGCGTGGGATTGTGCATGTGGTTTCGTGGGAAGGATGGCATGTTTGCAGGGGGTCTGGAGCGAGACAGTGTAGCCTTAACGTCTCTTATCTTAGTAATCCATCTCGATATGCGTGTTAAACACGAGAGCGAGGAGGCAGTAAGGAGACGAGCTCTCCACAAGGGATGTGGAGCAAGAAGTGCTCACTCTAAGCAGATGGACGTGACCGTATATATCTTGAGGCAATAGGTTAAAGTTTGTTCAGAGGAAGGATGATTTAAGCCACGTGTGTGGGGAGGGCAGTTGCATAAGAATCTGCTGAGTCGGTGTTTTCATGCACACACACACACACAGAGCAAAGACAAAATATCTTGGTTGCTGCACAACTTCCCATTGTTTGTTTCGATAAAGTGTGTTGTACTACAAGTATGAATTCAGCCAATAGAGACGAGCAAGAAGAAAGTTGGGGTCGGAGTGTGCATTCATTCAGTTTATTCTTCATCCAGCAGTGTTGGCCAATTATTTTGTTAAAGGATAAATTGGGTATTTCTCTCTCTTAAGTGACTAATGGGGACAACTGTTTAAAAATGTATTTTTTAATTTAAATTGGTCCAGAATTGAGCGAGAGCGCTGCAGCCACTTAACGGGGCTGCGATGTAATCCTACCGGGCAATTCCTCCCGTCAATGTGCGTCCATTTAAAGTGCTCGTTTGTGCTGCTATGGCTGTCAACACGATGGATTCTACAGAGAAATAAAACCTGTTTTCTTTCCCTTTCGCTTGATCACGACTTTTTATCCTATTGTGTCTAACGAAGTCTCGCCTCAAGGACAATTCTCGTTCTGAAATCTTGAAGAGAATAAAAGTGAGCGTTTGAGAGAGGAGTGCCGTTGTTCACCGAGTTAGTTGCGTAGCTTACCTAAAAGATCTTCAATCTCATGGCTGTATATTTAAGTGATTTTGACAATGTGGATGAGGCCTGACCCTCTCGCGAGATTTCCGAACGAGACTTCTCCTTGAGGCGAGACTTCGTAAGACACAAAAGCAAACCGACCAGATTGGGCGAAAGGTAAAGATGAGAGGTTTTATTTCTCTGTGGGGACCTGTCCATAATGTTGTCAGACACTTACAATAATTATCAAAAAATGAAACAAAAGTATTCTGAATATGTGGCCATATGCGTAAATGCCAAAGAGAATGTTATAATAACAATAGATGTGTGTTTCTCTGTGTGTCAGAGTCGTGTTCCAGGCACCGTCATCCCTCTGTGTGCCGCTCAGTGTGAGAGGATGTTCAACACAACGCGCACACCAGGAGTCGAGACTGGTAACACACACACACACACACACACACGTTAGCACACTTTACTGCTCCAGATAAGTCACACAGCTTCAAGTTTCTCAGCTGTAATCCTGCTGAAATCTCCTCTTACCTGGAAAAACCAGCTGAAGTGAAATGTACTACTGTTGGAGCAGATGATCCGATGAGCCAGAGGCATAACTCCTCTTTTCCTCCGCAGATGTGCTGCAGCACTGGCAGGACAGCGAGTTTGTGGCGGTGTACCACAAGGGCCGTTTTTTCCGCCTGTGGGTGTACCGGGCGGGCCGGCTGCTGTCTGCCAGAGAGATCGAGCACCAGATCCAGAGGATCCTGGACGACCCTTCCCCCCCGCAACCCGGAGAGGACAAACTGGGAGCTCTCACTGCTGGGGACAGGTAGGAACGCAAGAAGGAGCGGTGTATATTGGAATGTATTATTATATGTCGCATTGCGTCTCTTAACTGTATAACTTACCGGTTTATACATTAATAACTCAGTTGTAATGGCAAGAAAACGGGGTGTGTTTTTATATGTATGTTTTTTTAATTTTGAGAATGTTTTTATGCTTTTCCTTGTGCATCGGTAGGGGCATTTTTCGCTTTATTGTGTTGATGGATTTGGCTTAACTTTTAGCGAGGATGTTTATTTATTTATTTTAGATACAGACGCCCTTAAGGACAAAAATGTCCCCATTGAAACCACAGTTTCTGATCTCACGGCCATTAAAGCATAAAATCATGTATTCTAATATATCAGACCTTCAATCTACAACCCTGCTTTCAAAATTGTAGATTTTATTATTTTCCACCCGATTGAGCCATTTTCTCAGGTTTGCCCTATGGGACAAATACATGCTATTTAAAAAACAATATACCAGAATATGGCGTGAGTGCGTTTCTAATACATGACACTGTATGTACATTTTGAACACTTGATGGTGCTGCCATTTAGAACAACTATTTGACTTCTATCGATTACTCGTCTAGTCAAACATCAGTATACATGCACATTTGGGTTTTCTTGTCTAGAAACACAATTTCTTACAGTGTAACTGGGTGAAAACGTAACATTGTTTGGCCCCTGACTCGTATATGGCCCACTGTCAAATTTTGTTTTTACTCTTTTACAACAGAATTGGCCAGAGCAAATAGGATCTTGTCAATAGTTTATAGGACTATAGTGCGTCTGAGACCAGAGCACACACACCTCACACTGTGTACACATACTGTGTATATATATATATATATATATGTATGTATGTATGTATGTATGTATGTATGTATGTATGTATGTATGTATGTA